TAGGAAAGAACACGTTAGGTAAATAATCCGGAGTTCTTTAGTATTTTTGCTTTTATTTTTAAAAAAGAGTGCTCAATACAAAATTAGAATTATTATTTATAATTAATTTTTAATTCACCTTCATCCTGCTGTGCGCCAACAGCTTAGTGGTAGAATCCCCGACTGACGCGAATTCAGTCAGGTTTTGGATCCTAGCTAGAGGCAACCGGACGTCTAGCCACACTGACGAGCTAGGATATAGCGAAACAATCTGTCTGTGGATGACAATATATGCTCCTGAAAAAAAAAAGTATATATATATATATATTGTTTCGCTCATCAGTGTGGCTAGACGTCCGGTTGCCTCTATACAGGATCGAAACCCGACTGAATTGGTATCAGTCGGAGATTCTACCACTAAGCCGTTGGCGCACGGCAGGGGTGAATTTAAGCGTATTTATTTTTAGATAAACACACAGTGACTGAAAGAACTCGATTCGATTTACCAAAGAGTCTTTCATTATTAGCCATAATAGTCACTGTTTACAAACCCACACTCCCCCCCCCCAGAGAGCTCAACCGAAATAAATTTTTCAGGAAGAGAGAGAGAGACAGACAGACAGACAGACAGACAGAGAGTTTGGTGTTTGTATGAGGGAAATTCGGAGTTGCGGGCTGTATAATCGTTATCAACGTGGAAATCGTTGCACCCAGGCTATAGACGCAGGATCATGTTTTATGCAAATTAATTCTTTAAAATGCCAAAATCACTTTAGCGTTTCATGATGTGTTCAATTTGACAGAGATGCACTTAGAAAAGGCATTAATCAGTTTTTATCCCTCATCTATCGGTTAAACAGTAAGGTAGACTGAGCTTGCTTGCTAAATATCGTTTTCTAAAATCTTTGCTGAATTTCTTTTATGTTCTCCCTCACTTCCTGCCTTTGTTTTCTTTTTCCTTTATTTTTTTTATTTTCTTTCTTTCTTTCTTTCATGTGATGCTTTATAATATATATTGCATATAGTTTTTTCTTTCTTTCTAGCTTTCTTTCGTACTTATTCATATTGTCAGTTCTTTCTTTATCGTCGTCCATTCGTTCTTTTTCTTTTTCAAATCGTCATTTTATTTCTCCGTTACTTTCTTTGTATCTTTCTTTCTTTCTCACTTTCCCATACTGTCATTCGATTTTTTTCGCTTCTCTATCTTTTTTTTTTAATTCTTTTTTTCCCCATACTACCATTCCATTTTTATTACCTTTCTTTCTGTCTTTCTTTCTTTCTTTCTTTCTTTCTTTCTTTCTTTCTTTCTTTTTCTTTCTTTCTTTCTTTTATTTTTGTTTCACTTCTTACCTTTGTTTTTTTCCTTACCTTTCTTTGTTTAGTAGGTTTTCACTTCTTTCTTTCTTTTTTTTTTCTTTCTTTCTTTCTTTCTTTCTTTCTTTCCTTTTTCTTTCTTTCTTGTCCTGCTCTGAAATATATATTGCATATACTTTTCCTTTATTTGTTCTTTCTTTCTAGTTTTCTTTCGAATAATTATTCATATTGGCAGACCTTTTTTACCGCCCAGTCTTGCATACTGTCACTTCATTCTTTTATTCTTTCTTTCTTTTTTGTTATGCTTTATTTTTAGTATTATACAAACTAACATTTTTATTTTTCTTATTTCTATTCCTTTTTCTTTCATTTTATTTTTCATTATTTATTTTGCATTCAAATTACATTTCATTATTTTGGCTTACATTCATATATTGCATATTCTTTCTTTTTACTTCTTTTTTTTCTTTTCATTTTTTTCGTTTTAACTTTCTTTCATACTTATTCACCCTGACATTTCTTTCTTTTTTTATCTTCCATTCTTCCTTTCTTCTCTTTTCTATACTGACATTTATTTATTTCATCAATTACGCGTTGCTCTTTCTTTCTTTATTTCTTTCTTTATTTCTTTCTTTTTCCTTTCTTTCTTTCTTTCCACTTTTTATTCCCACTCATATATGCTCGCATTTCAATTATTTTCTTTGTTTGTTTGTTTGTTTGTTTCTTCCTTTCTTTCTTTCTTTCTTTCTTTCTTCAATTACGCGTCTTTCCTTTTTCCTTCTTTCTGTCCATCTCATCCCTGCTTACATTTTAGTGTTTCTTTCTTTCTTTCTTTCTTTCTTTCTTTCTTTCAATACAGAGAGTTTTCTTTATTGGATTCCATTCTTTCTTTCTTTCTTTCTTTTCTTTCTTTCTTTCTTTCTTTCTTTCTTTCTTCAATTACGCGGCGTCGTTCTTTCTTTCTTATTTTTCCCCCGTCTCATACATGCATACATTTCAATGTTTTTGTCTTTCTTTCTTTCTTTCTTTCTTTCTTTCTTTCTTTCTTTCTTTCTTTCTTTCTTTCTTTCGTTCGTTCGTCCCTTCTTTCTTTCTTCAATTGCCCGTCGTTCTTTCTTCATCACTGCTTACATTTCTGTGTTTTTCATTTTCTTTCTTTCTTCCTTTATTTCTTTTTTTCTTTCTTTCTTTCTTTCTATTAATGTAGATAGATTTTTGTTTTCCATTCTTTCTTTCTTTCTTTCTTTCTTTCTTCAATGACGCGGCGTCGTTCTTTCTTTCTTATTTTTCGCCGTCTCATACATGCATACATTTCAATGTTTTTGCCTTTCTTTCTTTCTTTCATTCTTTCTTTCTTTCTTTCTTTCTTTCTTTCTTTCTTTCTTTCTTTCTTTCTTTCGTTCGTTCTTCCGTTCTTTCTTTCTTCAATTGCCCGTCGTTCTTTCTTCATCACTGCTTACATTTCAGTGTTTTTCATTTTATTTATTTATTTATTTATTTATTTATTTCTATTAATGTAGATAGATTTTTGTTTTTCATTCTTTCTTTCTTTCTTTCTAATCACTTCTCTCTTTCCTTCATTTATTTTTTCCATACCCCTAGCTTAATCTTTTACTTCTTTGTTTCAAACCACTACTCATAGCCCAGCACACCATAACCTCTTCGACCCTGACGACTCACGAGACTAAATTTGGACATTTTTATTTATTAATACATTCTGGAAATTGTTAGAGAGAACCCAATAAAATTTCCATTTTCTAAAAGCATTTAACCCTTCCAGGAATCACATCAAAATTAAACAAATTAAGCCATACACCACCCTGTCGTTCACAACACACTTTGTTCAGGGACTAAAACGAAAAATGAAACTTTATTACAGACATCACCTTCGGTCAGAAAATCATTCATTGATTCAGTAACTCTAAAAGTACGAGTTTTTTTTTTTTTTTTTTTTTTTTAATGGATGAATACGATATTAACGCCTTGGATAAAATTGTGTCGTATTCAGATTAAACTATTTTCAATTTGACAATAAATACCATTAAATACCATTCATCCCTGCTTTGAATATTGCTTCAACATATGGTCTGCCATATATTTAAAGATTTTATGATGAAATCCAAAGAAGAATCTGCAATATTATTGGTCCTGAACTGGTACCTCAGCCTCAGTCATATTTCCCAACGCCGAAATATATCTTCCCCGTCTCTTTTCTATAAACGCTTTCATTTGAGTTCAGCTGAACGCGCCGTTTTGGTACATAGAATTTAAGTGCTGTACTAGACTGGCAGTTAGGTCTCATTGATTTAGAGTTGAATTGACTAGGTTCAACCGTAAGTTCTATGATAAGAGTTTCTTTGCCCGCACTTCTAGCTTATGGAAATTTCTTCCGGCTCCATGCTTTTCGGCCATATTTGATCTTCACAAATTTAAATGCAAGGTCAAACGTTATTTACCGTCTTCCTGATTACTCTTCCATTGTTCTCGCTCCTTGACAATGTTTTCTGATTTTTAATTCTTTCATATCCAGTAATCCCTTGGGTTTTAATGGAATTTAGTGCCCCGCTTGGAGAAAATTCGATATAAAAGCACACACACACACACAAAAACAAACAAAAAAACGAGAAATCACGTGTTATTCACCCATGACAATGATTTTAGAAAGTTCCCTTTTTGCATTTTTTATTTAATATTCAGTAAAATAAAAATAAAAAAACTAACTTCGAGTTTTCGGGGACATACTGTTTTTTATATATAATTTCTAAACCTTAAACCCACTTTAGTAAACTACACATTGAATTAGCCATTTGTAGAATTCATTGTGAGAATATTGCATGGAATAAAACTTATAGCATACCGTAATTCCCCCATGTATAATGCGCTTTCATCCATAATAATTGTGCTGGAAGTGTGGGGAAAATGCTTCTACTCATGCATAATACGCATCTCTTGTTTGGTAATCAAACCTTATAAATTGTACCTCTCCACTTTCATTACGGCCAGCGTCTCCTACTATTATTTAAAAAAAAATGGTTTTAAACATAGAATAATATTATTAAAATAGCTAGAAGGAGCCGTAAGTTCTATGCTAGCAGTTTATTCTCTTGCATTTCTCGTTTGTGGAACTTTCTTCACGCTTCTTGCTTTCCAGTCAAATATGGTTTTCAAAAGTTTAATTGCAATGTCGATCGCTATCTTTTTTCGTCTGCTTTCATTTTTCTCGCTCCTTAATAATGATTTTCTTTTTCTTACACACTCAGTAAACGCATGCGTCTTGGTGGCTTTGTTCCCTCGCATAGGGTGAAATGATTAAAACAAGAAAGGACAAAGGCAAGTAATTTGAATTGAGTTCACATGTTTTTTTTTTCCTGAGTAGATCGAATTCTAGCCATCATGTGAATGTCCTGGAAACAAACATCGCTGTGTAAACAGAAAGATTGATTGTGTTGACTTCATGCGAACTGCTTATGTAAATGCAATGTCAATAGAATTCACGGTTCTTCTTGATTACTATTAAGTTCTTCTCGCTTTTCTAATTATTTCACACTCAGGGACTCCCTTATTTCTTAGTGGCTTTATTGCCTTACATGGGGTAAAATTATTAAAAATGATACTGGCTTAAAAAATGGGAACTTATTTAGACATTAGCTGTAGAAGGACGTGGATGTAGTTTATCGTCTTACCCAGGACGCGGATGTATTTTATCGTCATACCCAGGATATAGATAGATAATGAACAGACTGAGATAGATAGAATTTGAATGGAATAATAGAGAAGGGTATAAATAGACTGAGATAGATAGAAGAGAGATAGATAGATAGATAGATAGACAGACAAATTTGAGTGGAATAAGAGGCAAGGATATGAGCAGACTGAGATAGATAGATAAATCGATAGATATGAACAAATTGATGCAGACACACAGATAGATAGATAGATAAATGTGAATGGAATAAGAGAGAAGTATGTGAATAGACTGCGATAGCTAGCTAGCTATTTAACTAAATAGATAGATAGATAGATAGATAGATAGATAGATAGATAGATAGATAGATAGATAGATAGATAAACAGACAGACAGACAAATTTGAATGGAATAAGAGACAAGGATATGAGCAGACTGAGATAGATAAATCGATAGATATGAACAAATTGGTGCAGACACACAGATAGATAGATAGATAGATAGATAGATAGATAGATAGGAACCGGCTAAGAGAGGCAGAGACTACATTAAAAGTATGGTCATAATTAATATTGTAGACCAACTAATACAGCTGATATCACCCTTACTTCAGCAGCGTCAAAGTTCAGATTATTTTTTTTATAAAAAAATAGAAAGCAGATTTCTTTTCCTGCTATGATGGATAAAAAAAATACATTTTTTGTCGCCAAGAAGCTTCAGAAATGTTCAATTTTCAATAACTTCAGAGAACAAGCTCTAATTTAATTTTATTTTGGCAACCACCATTTTAGTGTGTAGATTTTTAAGCTATTTTCTCTTATTGCCTTGCTAAATAGACATTTTATTCTTTAATACAGACTTGGCTTCTATCACTGCTCTTATACGGCGATGAATTGACTCGTACTCGTTCTGAATCTTTGGTAAGGGAATTTTTATTCACTTTAATATTTTGCAACCTTTTAAAATCCTCACAGTATTTAATATTGTTGAAGTTTTTTTTTTTTTTTTTGCAATATTTACAACCTCTACATTTTGTTTAATTTCTCAAACCAATCAATGGAATTTTAATAAACTGATTTGTTTTGAAAAATACCTTACTTGACGTTTTAATAATTTCTTTAATGTAATTTAAACTTAATGGTAAACAATAATTTTTTATGAAGTTTTCTTTTTCTTTTTTAACAGCGAGAAATCAATTTCTTACTCTTGAGCATGCAACATACAACTGGCCATGCGTAAATATTTCTATCAAGAGCTAAATTCCAACTTTTTGAAACATTTGGCTTTAAGATTTGTTTAGTTTTCGTAAATGCTGGACCAACTGGAAGTTTAATTATTTTATATAAAACGTTAAAAAAAGATATGCAAAAAATAATATTGCATTTTTACTAAGTATTTATTATTTTAATTATTAAATTGTTTAAATATAGTGGGAATATCTTGTATGTTAAATAATAAAAAACTTTAATTTTCCCCCAAATAGGAATGAAAATTTATTATACTAAGCTACGCATCCTAATAAAATCAAATGTATTTTGTACCCGTTTATCGGTTTGCACTTCTACCAAAATTTTGTTTCGATTGGTCTATATATGGCTGTTTTAGAGGATGTGACGGGCGGACTAACGGAAGTCACAGAATTTTGTATATAGACGCCCTGTAGGATGCAGGAGAGAAGAGTCTACACACACGGAAATAAAAAAAATGCTCCATTTGAAACCTAATGATTGACACAACCGGACCTCGAGGCCTGGCGTCATTTCTGAGCACTTCTGACTAACTTTGAATAAATTCATGCGTATTAATCGATACAGTATCCTTTTATATTATTGCACAACCAAAATACTCAGATAATCCCTGGCGTTAATTCTGCTAAGTATTACATGGTTTGGGCAATTGTATATGGTTATCCAAATCTTTACAGAGACACGCCTAAGCATAACACTTCACTAATCGGCGCAGTATCGTTTTATATTATTGAACAAACAAAAGGCTCAGATAATCCGTGGCGTTAATTCTGCTAAGTATTAGATGGTTTTGGCAAATATATATGGTTATCCAAATTTTTACAGAGACACCCCTAAGCTTAACACTTAACTAATCGACGCAGTATCGTTTTATATTATTGCACAACCAAAATGCACTGATAATCCCTGGCGTTAATTCTGCTAAGTATTAGATAGTTTGGGCAATTGTATGTGGTTATTCAAATCTTCAAAGAGACACCTCTAAACTTAACACTTCACTAATGGGCGCAGTATCGTTTTATATTATTGAACAACTAAAATACACAGATAATACCTGGCGTTAATTCTGCTAAGTATTAGATGGTTTTGGCAAATATATATGGTTATCCAAATTTTTACAGAGACACTCCTAAGCTTAACACTTCACTAATCGGCGCAGTATCGTTTTATATTATTGCACAACCAAAATGCTCAGATAATCCCTGGCGTTAATTCTGCTAAGTATTAGATGGTTTGTGGAATTATATATGGTTATCTAAATCTTCACATAGATAC